AAAGTCTGTCGTTGTAGACCATGTCTGGGAAAACCAGTAGCGATCCTTTCTTGCCTGAGACCGAGCCCCCTGCCAGTCACTCTGGATTGTCCTTTTTATGAGGACTTTTGCCGCAGCAGCAAGTTCCTGGAAGGACGTGCCCTCCTTAAATGTTGCTCTGTTGCTGGCTGTCCACAGCGCCTCCATTATAGCTCCCCTACAGGCCAAGGCTATATATGCCAGCCCTGTAGAGAAATCTTGTGCTGGACTCATCATACCATAGAGCATCCATTCTTGCGACCACGGAAACCGGTCACCTGTAAATGATTTCCACTTTTCCTTCCACCATTCCCACATGTTGAAGGAGAAAGGACAGTACAGCCATACATGGGAAGCAGCTTCCCAGCCCCAGTTACACCGGGCACACTGTTCACTAATCTCCATACCCTAGCTGCCAGCCATACTGCAGACGGAGTCACTAGGAAAAGTTGTAAGCAGGCCAAAGCCGCCTGCTTTTGAGAAGTCATCATCTTTAGCCCTCTCCACATACCAAATAGATCCAAACTACCCAGTGTAAACCCAGGTTGCTTAGCAAGTCTCTCAGTAGCTGTAGATACCGCTTGTTTCTTACCTGCTGCTCTTAGAACCTGAACGCCAATTTTGGGTTTACAGTTTATCACTGGTACGGAGGACCCGGGGCCCAAAATATCCTGCCAGCCGTACGTCAGAGGTTCGATCTGGAGGTTGGAGGCATCCTCCACTATCAGAGTGGCAGCCTCCTTCCGCTTCGAGATACTGACCAAAACTCGACACTCTGTAAGGCCCACTGTTGAAGGAACTATCCTATGACTCCTATCCTCTATTCTGGTCAACGGCAGCGGTGTGGAGACTCTCGCTTTCCGTCTCCAAGTCTGCATTCTGATCCCTTGTGTCAACTCAGGGCCCACCACTCTTAGGACCAACTGATTGTCATCAGGCAGGGTCTATTAGCCAGGTCCCTTGATTGTGCTCTACTGTCGTTGGGAACATTGCAATCCAGCCGGTAGGGGGGAATGGCCCCTTGAATCGAACTATAGTTATCTTCGACGTTCCGAAGCGTTTAGAGAGTTTCTTCTTCAATTCCACCAGGTGCAGCCAGTCTTCCGACTCCCCATCCCAGATATGTGTGATCTGTATCACACCTTTTTCAATCCATGCATTTCCGAACGAACCACGTCTTCTGTCTGCTTTAAACCATCTGCCCCCTGGTGAAACAATGAAGGGGTTCTCGAAAAGGATCTGATTCAAGACTTCCTCTCTTGTTTCCGGTGGCCTGAGAGTCTGTGGAAAAATCATATGCCAGGCCCGGAAAATGCTTTGCCACAGTCTGGACTGCGGTCTCCTAGCAACAAAAGAAGGGATGAGCCAGCACAGCCACACGTCTGCTGGTCTGTGTAAGCCCCATTCTTTTGCCAATATATACTCCGCCAGACGAGTCCATAACTTAGACCGTGTACCAAAGGATGCCGCTGTCACCCATTTGCACAATAAGGCCAAGTTTGACTAGGCAACTGTCTGCCAAGCCACCTTCCAGATGAAGCCTTGCTGGGATTCTGAAGCAGGTTTCCACAGATAACGAGTTGCATCCTTCTTGATACGTGAATACGCCCTTTCCCACAGGAGATGAACTGAAAGGGGAAACCAAAGTAGGGAGAAGGCCGCTGAGGAGATCACCAGAGCTCTTCCAAAGAGCGACAATTTGAAGTTGCGTTTCCATCCTGCAATCCTTGCAGCCACTTTGTCAGCAAGTAGGGAGTGCTGTACTGTAGAGCAATCAAACAACGACACCTGGACCCCCAAGAAACGGTCAGAAGAGTTGGCTGGCACTTGTTTCAAACCCCCGTCCACAGCCAACGCCTGAGAGGGGGGGAGAAACTTCGAGAAAGTACACAGATTTATCCCAATTAATGGAAGCTTCTGACAAGTCACAATAGGTATCTATGGCCTTTTGTAACTGATTTATTGCTACTGGGTTATTGTCACATGCTACTGTTAGATCGTCCGCGATGGCGCCCCCCTTCCACTCTAGATCTGGAGAGAGTTTTAGCCCTGTGATCTCGGGGGTGTTCCTAATGTTATCAAGTAAGACTTCTAACTGTAAGACAAAAGAGTAAGGGGGCCAACGGGCACCCTTGTCTTAAGGATGGTGATAGGAGAAACTCTTATGAGAGTCTCCCATTAACCAGTACGACTGAATTAGCCCCCTCATAGCTTGCGCTGACCCAAGTGCGGAAACCGCGGCCAAAACCCAAGTTTTTGAGGGTGGTATGGACCCGCTTACACTTTAGTAAGAGTATATATGTATAAAGAAAATAAATAAATAAAATTAGAAAAAAAGGGAAAAAAAAAGAACAGATCTGCCGCCTCGCTCCCAATACCCCCACTCAGCCCACTGGAGAGCAACCCCCCACGTGGTTGGAGGACAGTTCCCGGTCCCTCCCCTGTGCACAGCTGCAGTCGAGGGAGCAAGGGGAAAAGGGGACTGCCAGAAAGGACCTGGCGCACAATGACTTCTAGCTTAAACTACCAAAAACATGGCGGCAGATCCCCCTCACGGACATAACCCCCCCTGGATGATTCAAAGGAGCCCTGCGCCAGCCTCTGTTCGAAGACTGCTGGCTCACCGACAAACATGGTTGTGTCTTCCGCCATGTGAGTTAAACATGACGTCATCCGCATTGGGGACATTTGGTACCAGACCGCCAGGACTGGAAAACAGAAGGCTGTGACCAATTCTCTGCTACGCCCACCACCTAGTGGACAGCCTGGACCAGATCGTTCTCTGAGTTCTGGTAGCTTGGGTGGATGCCCTGAGAAACGGCCCTTGCCTTCTTGAGGCGGATTGGGTTGCAGTACAATATAAGGACACACGACCTATAAGGCATAGGCAATGTGGTGGAGGTCCAGCTTCGGGGAGCCCTAGTCAACCACACACTGAGTAGACTCCTCCCAGACCGGACCGAATGGCATGACACAACCCCATTTGGGTCCTAAGAGCCCCTGATGGAAGCAGCGGACAGACCTACCACCCTCACGCTCCATCTGCTTGCTTTGAATCCGGAGGATACTTTACTGTTCCGGAATTAAAGACAACCAACCGTCAGGTCAGGTGGCCAATAAGACACTTACCCACCGGGGGGATGCGCATACATAAATAAAATAAGCTGCTTGTTTTGTTGTGGCGGCTGCGTTGACTCTTTTGGGTGAGTCGCATTCTTAGCTTATATGAGATGATTCATGATAAACTTCATTGGGAATTCATCAATGCTAAATTAGATTGTACTACTCTAGCTAGAATCCATTTATTTTTATTTTTATTTTTATTTTTTTTTAACAAAAAACTTCCCCCACTAGTGTGCTAGAATCCATTGTTACAGCAGACTTATGGATAATTTCGTCCGGGCTTTCCCACACTGGATGTTCAAGGATGCACTTTCAGCCAGTACGATTCATCTGAGTGATGTATTAACTGTTATTAAACAAGACTCTTCTTTCTCTAGTTTAATCTGTATGGTACCTACTGGAAAGGTCTGCGTCGGCCCCGAGGTACAAAAGGAAATGGGACAGTACTGGGGTCGTACTGCGGTAGCGCATGAATCCTTTTACTCCCGCCAGCCTAAATTCGAGGTCCTTCGAGAGGTAATATTTCAGTTATCCGAAGCTGCCTTGTGCAATCAGCAATGCCCATAAGGGCCATAACCATGAGCTACTCTCGCCAGCCAGAAGCGTTGCTTCAGAAATGGTTCATTAGGTTGAAATGACAGTGACAACATCAGGAGTAGCAGCAACGTCAAACTCACAGATCCCCCTGCATGCTTGCTCACTGGCATAATGCAAGACTATGCCAGGTGAGGTCTCATGCAGTTGCTCTTTGTGGAACCACCTATCCTTCTCCAGGTCTTGGTATTTCCATCTCACTCTAAGTTGTTGACTTGGTCTCTCCCCCGTGTACCAGTTCTAAGTTCAGCCTGATTTACAGTGCAGTCGATATCATATCTACCACCCATATCAGGCAGAATCAAGAATCACTGATCTACGTGAGGGGAAGGACTGTCCCAAGTTAGCAGGCAACAACTCTGAAGCATGGAAAACCAGACAAGTGCGGAAAAAAAAAAAAAAAAAAAAAAAAAAAAAAGACAAGTGGGAAGTTGCAAAGGAACATCGACCGTGTAAGATGTACCGTGAACGTCTCCCTTGACATCTAGAATTTCCCCTGGTCCTCTATACACAGGTAACTGTATCTGAGAAATTCCTTCCTCAGGTACAAATTCCTTGGACTTCACCCATATTACATCACCTATCGCGAACTGTGATGGTCTACAGTGTTTGTTAGCTTACTCTACCATTTTGAATTGTGCATGCTTGTTGTAGGTCTTTCTAATACTTCGGTGCAAACTCACAGGTATCGGTGGTAGTCTCTGAATCTGGTCCCTGCTTACTCCGTTTATAGGTCTTTGTGGCTTCCATCCGTTGACAATGTGCAATTTATTAGGTGTCCTATTCGTCGACAGATGCGCCGAGTGATTGTATGCATGGACTACCTAGGGAGGTGCTCGTCCCAATCTACTCGATCTGGTCTAATATAGATACGACGCGTCTGTTGCAACAACTTATTCATCTGATCCATCTGACATTCGTCTCGGGGTGCCTACCTGACGACGTAGTTGACTGTGAGCCATACACCTTCACGAGTTGCTGCCCATGTTCCCCTGTAAATCTAACATCTCTATCACTAACTAAGGTCCCGGTTCCCAGCTGTGTTGCTCCCCATGAATAGATTGGAGCATCGTCTCTTAAAATTAAAAAAAAAAAAAAAAAAGGTCGAAGGATGACAGTTGTTCGTGACCCAATGTGCAAAGAACTTGTGGATTACCAAATCTGTTTTTGCTTCTACTGGCAAAGGAACAATTCTACAACCTTGTTGAACCGGTCCACTATGACCCATAACTTATATATTCCCATTTCTGCTCTTGATCTTGGTGTCCATAAAGTCTATAAATACGGAGTCTACTGGTCCAAAGGTTTCAACAATCCTAGTGGAGCTTGAGTTGTGCTCTTGTTCCTTTGACATACTCTAGACTCATGTATGTAAGTGATACAATCTGACTTCGGTCCAGGCCATACGTAAGAGCATAATAAGCTAGTGGAAGTCTTCCTCCGGCCAAAATGTCCATCTGAACCATGAGCTTCTCCAGGACTCCACAAACCCGTGCAACCCACAGCGCGGCAACCGGCGACAGCAGCTTCCAGCCACGGCTCACTGTAACTTGCTGCGATAGCAGACATGCACATCCGCGCATTTGCAAATGCGGCGTCATCACCCCTCGCGTTCCCTTGTGCTGGGACTGCCGCGCCTTGCCTCCCAGCACACTCGAGGCATAGCCTCTCCCTGGTGTAAATTCTGCAAGACGGCCTTCCCGACTAAAACGACAGAGACCATTGAGCATATCTTCATGGAGTGTCCAGGTGCTATTTGGCTTTGGAGATGGTGGGATAGAATATGGAATCGAGTAGGACCTCAAGCCCAGTGGCCATGGTCCTGGCAGGCCATCCTCCTAAAATCACAGGTATCTGAGTCGTATGATGATTTCACTTAAAAGTTAAAACCTCTTCTTCATAGGAAGACGGGCTGTTCTGTGGGCTATTTGGATGAGGAAGTGTACTTAGGAATTGGAAGGGGCAAGACTTGATGGTCCAGGATTCGTCGATACAATCAAACATAAAATAACAAATAAGATATCACGTCCTGAAATTCTTAGACACTTCCATAACTTTCCTCGCTGCTGGCTGGGAGGAAACCGGGCGGGGGGGGGGGGGGGGGGGGGGGGGGGGGGGGGGGGGGGGGGGGGGGGGGGGGGGGGGGGGGGGGGGGGGGGGGGGGGGGGGGGGGGGGGGGGGAGGAGGAATTGGGCCAGGTGATATGGAGTGGGGCTCAAAGGGAAGATCATGAAGATATTTGGAAGATCATTAAGATATTTGTGACGCGCTAACCTCATGCCCTGTGTTGTCTTTCGTTCGGAGTGTTAGCTGTGTGAAAAAGAGGCCCAGAAAAACAGCAAGATGCGGTGTGTCAAGGATTTTTGGAAATTGAGTGTGGGGACACAAACCGAACTGAAATCCCCCGTGTTGGTCCGATGGAGCAAGTCGATCGTTTTCGCGCGTCGCAAAATGCGCGCGCGGTAAAGCGGGAACAGAGGGAAAGATCCAAATTCAATCCAGAAAGTATTGTCGTGCCTCCCACCGGGCTACAGCCCGTTGCTTAGAACAGAAAGGCTTAGGCACGCTTCGCGTGTCTCGTTTTCGTATCAAATCTCATCGTCGTTCGCTGGTTAGTTTTGAGTCCGACGTGGAGGGTCTCAGCCGCGTGGCCCTTTCTTTATGCTCGTCTTCGCTTCGCACACAGTAGTGAATACCCCTGGACTCGTAGCGCTCAAAACGCTGACATTTGGTGCACAAAGTGCGCGGCCAGTGGGGTTCTACTGCCGTCCACGGAATGACAATCAACTCGTTAAATGGCAACAATACCGAGTAAGGTGGAAAGTGCGTATCGATAATTACAAACCCGGCTCCTACGAACCCAAAACAACGGTTGGCCGGAGGGAAGTAATACTGCCCGCCGATTTGTGCGACGGCTTCTCGTACGTCCCACTCACGTACACGTGTCCTTTCCTCACTGTAGGGAAAATGTCGCGTTGGGATGGGAGATACGGGAGGCCGGCGCCCAATCGAAGGGTACTTGTCAGTCCACATGTCAATCAATCACAAAATATTCCGAGACGTGATCAAAACCGATTCGCGCGTCCCCCAATCAATCTTTTTGACACAAGAGAGAGAGAGCATATACATATCAGCCTGATTATGTAGATGACTAAGGGACCGATCAGTTCAACACAACGTTGGTCCTTGGCGCCTTGTTTTTCGAGGCCGCCTCGTGGCTCGGCTGCTGATGTCGTGCAGCATAAGGCATATGGCATGTGCAGTACAGACAGAGCTACAGATCTAAACACTCTTGCATTCTTGAACAAAATCCCGACGACAATCGTCTAATTAACAAAAGAGTCACACATTTCATACATGCACTCACTGTGGAAGGTGCAAAAATGAGACATGCACAGGAAAAGATGGATCGCATTACTCAGTACACACGCATCCACCGTTCACGAGACAAGAAGACAGGGTCCTTGCGTAGGAGGATTACCCAGGAAACTAATGGAAGAGTTCCGGAAGAAGTTCTTTCACACAGAGTGCCGACTCATTCCCATTCAAGAGCGGGGCAATCATTCAGACGCACCATCATTCAAGAGGGGGGAGAGAGAGAGAGAGAGAGAGAGAGAGAGAGAGAGAGAGAGAGAGAGAGAGAGAGAGAGAGAGAGAGAGAATCGAGGGAAAGAGAGTCAAAATAGAAGATGACAAGGTCCGAAAAGAGAAAAGTTCGGCGTCGCCTCCTTACACTCATGCCAAGGATAACAATCCGCAACAAAGGCGCATTCGCCGTTAATTCCACTATGGCCCCGGGCCAATCACTCACTCAACTCTAATCATCGAGCCTCATACCCGCACCGACGATCCCGACCGTCTCGTGCTAACTCCGACCACTGCGATCGCCACCCAGCTGTCGTAAACTCGACACGGTTCGCCCGGATCCCACAGTCCGTCGTGGCGATCAAGCGCGCAGCCGGCCAGCCTATCGTCAGCCCGACAGGGCTTTCCGACTCGCATCAATCCACTGGCATCAATCCACTCTGCCTAGCCACTGCTTCCCGGAAGCTGGCTTAGGAGTCGAGAACGTAAGAGAGATTTGCGGACGCGCTTGCGGGTTTTATAGTTGCGACAGGGGAGATAGAAGGGGGAGAAGGCAACAGGAAAGCTGAGGTGTAAGAGGAGAAGCAGGAGGAGAAGACTTTGAGAAGAGTGCTCTACGAACGCCATGCTGATCCCTCGGAACTCGAGGTTCAACCAATCAGATTCGTTGCGCGATAGGAAGGTCCTATCGATCCACGCACCTGATTGGCGAGCGGGAGTTATCGGGGGATCGACCGAGCGTCGTACGCCAGACGTAAAGGGTGAGAAGAGAAAAGGCGCGAGAGGTGGCGCAAGACGGGTCCAAGATTCACATGATCAAGAAAAGGAAATGGGCGCGCGAAATCAAGGCGGGAGAGAGAGAGAACGAGAAGGAAAAAAAGTTACGGGGAGAGAGAAAAAGGAGGGAGAAGGGAAGGGAGGCGCGGGAGGGAGCGATGCGGGGGAGAGAGAGGAGGAAGCTTTTGCATGCACGGCGCGGTCAACAAAAAAAAGAAAAAGGCACCGAAACAATTACAGCTTGCTTCTATCCTAATTCAAAATTGAAATCACCATATCCGCGCGCGAAAAAGGGACGCGGGAAAAGAAAATCCTACGCCTATTCGTATTCACGCAAAATTCCGAGAGTTTTCTCCGACGCGCCTAAGAACATTCACACACCCAAAAAGGACACGTCGAAGTTCCGCTTATCCCGGAATTCCCAACTACTGAGCCCAATTCCCAGTGCGTTCGCTAAGGGGCACGTAAATTCTCATGTATTTCCCGACTTTGCAAGAAGAAAAACAGAACTCAGCAGTCGAAAAAGCTCTCAAAAAGGAAAATGCGGCTCCCGAAAGCAAGAACTCAAAACGGGGTTTTCCTGGGGTTGGTAAACTTGGTATGATACAAGCAAAAGAAAGGGAACGAAAGATGGCACGGGGTCGGGAAGTGGTTCGTCACATATTTGCAGAGACTATTGCCTTGTTTTTTACGACTGGGCAACAGTGGACCCGTCTGTGCCTATGCAACCTCTGTCAGATTTTCCAGATCCCTTTCCACCATCTGCATTGAGTTTGGTACCTAGATCTTGGTTTGGTTATGAATGAAATGTTACGAGGAAGGGGTGTTTCTTCCTCTTTTTTAAGAGAATCAGTGCTAAAGGATACAGTAGGATCTGGCGCCCAATGAGGGGTGGAGAGGTACTGGTTTAGTCATCCTTGCTCTTTTTATTATCTGGATATTTCAAAGTTCTATCATATGTGAGGGGCACGGGGCCCGTTTTCCAGCAGGTGCAGATGCTGCGGAGGACATGGTGCGGCGGCGGAGGGCAGATGGCTTTGGGGCAGATGACGGCGGCGGGGGAGATGGTGGTCTCTATGTGTGTGTGTGTATGTCATCGCCACAGGGCCTGGTTTTACACCGCATGCACTTTTCTTCAATCCCAGGCAGAAATAGGAGGGATTCAAGGCTTTGTTTTGCCTATCAACGCACCAGCACTGACCCCACAGGCATGTCCCGCCACGCCTATCTTGGCAGGCGGCAGGCTCAGCCCTTGACCAGTTTCAATTGGTATATGGGAAACGCACTGAGCTCGGTTCCGTGGCCAGCAGCGATGCTTGGCAACGCTTGCGCCGGATAGCAGCAGTTCAAACCACCAGTACACCGGCCAGCTAACCCCACGCACATCCGCCGGTTGAATCTGCTGCCAAGGAAAGGCTCAACCTCTTACGGTAAGCCTGTACCCTGTTGCCCATGGTCATTCGAAAAGGCAGCCAAAATCATGCAACGGAGAAAGGTGGCTAAGGTTCATTTTGTTGCCCCTCATCTATCTGAGCAGGTAGGCTCAACCATCAGCCTGGAATGGCCAGGGTTGGTGTAGAATCTGGTTTATCAAAATATAGCGTCTACCTCAGTGCTGGTTTGAATCCGCTGCATTTGTTTGTTTGTTTGTTTGTTTTTTTGTTTTGTTTTGAAAACATCTGCGGGAGCCTACTATTGGAGGTGACACGAGCATCCACCAATAGTACGACCCAGGTTGTAGGGGGAATTTTTCTCTGCTCGGTGACTATTGGAAGCTTCTTGGACCAATCATGTTATTTTCAGCTTTCTGGGGTTCTGAGAGAGAGAGCAGGAAAAAAAAAA